TATTCAAATTTATGCACCAACTACTAAAGCCAGTGATAATGAAATTGAAGCATTCTATCAACTTCTTTAGTTTGAGATGTATCAAGCATGCAATCAAGATGTATTGATAATTACTGGTGATTGGAAATGCAAAGGTTGGAAACAGATGAAGGATCAGTGGTTGGAAAATACGGCCTTAGTAATAGAAACAATGCTGGAGATCGTGTGATAGAATTTTTCAAGACCAGTGGCTTGTACATTGCAAATACCTTTTTAAAACAACAAAGACTGTACACATGGACCTCACCAGATAGAATTCACAGAAATCAAATTGCCTACATCTGTGCAAACATACAGTGGAAAAATTGCGTATCATCAGCCAAAACAAAGCCAGGGGCAGACGACCAGACCATCAATTTCTCATATGCAAATTTAGGCTGAAGCTGAAGAAAATTAAAACAAGTCAGTGAGTGCCAATATATGACCCTGAATATATCCCACCTGAATATAGAGATCATCTGAAGAGCTGCTTTGCTGCATAAGACACTAAAGACTGAAGACCAGAAGAGTTGTGGGATGACATCAAGAACATCATACAGGAAGAAAGCAAAAGATCATTAAGAAGACAAGAAAGAAGGGAAAGATCAAAATGGATGTCAGAAGAGACTCTGAAATGCTCTCCAGCATAGATACGCTAAAGCAAATGGTAGAAATGAGGAGGTAAGAGCTGAACAGAAAATTTCAAAGGCAGCTGGAGAAGACAAAGTCAAATATTATAACAAAATGTGCAAAGACCTGGCATTAGAAAACATTCAGCATTTCTCAAGCTGAGGGAACTGAAGAAAAATTCAAACCTCCACTTGCAGTAGAAGGCTTCTGTGGGCAAATTATCGAATGATGCAGAAAGCATCCTCTTTTTCTCCAACCCTCCACTTTACGAAACATATCTATCCTTTTCTAGGGACTGGTCCCTTCTGATAATATGTCCAAAGTATGAGAGATGAAGTTTGGCTATTCTGGCTTCCAAGAAGCATTCTGGTTGTACTTCTTCCAACACAGATTGGTTTATTCTTTTGGCAGTCTCTGGCATTTTTAATATTTTCCTCTAACACCATAACTCAAATGCATCAATTCTTCTACACTCTTCTTTTGTCATTGTCCAACTTTCATATGCATATGAGGTTACTGAAAATAAACATGGCTTGGGTCAGGTGTACCTTAGTCCTCAAACTGACAACTTTGCTCTTGAACACTTTAAAGAGGTCTTGTGCAGCAGATTTGCCTAGTGCAATATATCATTTGATTTCTTGACTACTGCTTCCATGAGTGTTGATGGCTGATCTGAGCAAAATGAAGTTCTTGACATCTTTGATCTTTTCTCCATTTATCTTGATGTTGTTTATTGGTCCAGTAGTAAGGATTTTTGTTTTCTTTACATTGAAGTCCAACCCATAGTGTAGGCTGTGGCCTTTAATCTTCATCAGTAAGTGTTTAAAATCCTCTTCATCTTCACTTTAAGCAAGCGAGGTTGTATTATCTATATATTGCAGGTTGTTAATTGCCGAGTCTTCATCCTATCCTGATGCCAAGTTCTTCTTCAGATAATCTAGTTTATTGGATTATGTGCTCAGCATACAGATTGAATACGTATGGTGAAAGAATATAACCCTAACACATACCTTTCCTAATTTTAAACCATTCAGCGGTCCCTTGTTCTGTTCGAACAACTGCCTCTTGGTGTGTGTACAGATTCCTCATGAGCACAGTTAAGTGTTCTGGAATACTCATTCTCCACAGCTTTTCATGATCCACATGATTGAAAGGAATACACAGAGTCACTGTGTCCCTCACACCTCAAAAAAAGGTCGATGCCCAACCATTTCAAGAGTTAGCATATTATCAAAAGTCAGTGATACTGAAGGAAGAATTCCAAGGTGCGTTGAAGGCTTGTCAAAGAGCAAGGCTCCTGAAATTGATGGAATACAAATTGAAATCTTTCAACATACTGATGAAGCACTGGAGGCACTCACTCATCTGTGCCGAGAAATTTGGAAAACAGATACCTGGTGGCCCAATGGAAAGCGGAAAACATCGGACAGTATCATTAATATCACATACAAGTAAAATTTTGCTAAAGATAATACAAAAATGGCTGTAACTGTGCATTAATAGAATACACTTAATCTCAGTGTGGCACTTTATGTTGTTGTTGTTAAGTGCTGTGGAGTCGTTTCCGACTCAGCAATCCTGTGTAGGGTTCTAAGGAGTAGATGGTGGATTTGAACCGTCTACCTTGTGGTTAGCAGCCCAATGCTTATCTTAACAGTGCCATACACAGTAAGAGTTCAGCAATTATTCATTGAATATAAGAAAAAGTCTGTTCCCACTAGCCTTATTATTAATGGTGATTGTTATTGTTAAGTGCTGTAGAGTCAGTTCCGTAGAATCATACAGTAGGGTTTCTAAGGAGCAGCTGGTGGTTTTGGACAGCTGAGCCCGAGGTTAGCAGTCCAGTACTTATCCTACAGTGCCACTTTCAATTTGATAATTCCTTGAGCAATATTTTTGTCTTATATTGTGATGTGATTTTGCATACTGTTTTGTTATTGTGTCCATGGTGGTTATTAATCATTAGTTTATGGATTAGTCTTTTAATTTGAAATTGGAAAATCTAATGGCCAAATTTACCTGGAAACTTGTAACAATACTTAATGATCTTTGTTTTGTCATTGCTTGGTGTTTCCTACATATTAGAAGCCCAAGAGATGTTGAATAAAGATAGAGGAATAGCAAACAGTTCAAATAGTTTATTTCAAATGCTTATTTTTCTCATTTGCTATTTTTTAAACCTGATTAGAAAGTTAAATAGGAAATGTAATAATCCAATTATTGTTGTTGTTAGGTGCCATCAAATCAGTACCGACTCATAGCGACCTTATTAAGCACAGCAGAACAAAACACTGCTTAGTCAAGTTTGAGACTTGTCATGTTTGAGACCATTGCTGCTGCCACCGTGCCAATCTATTTCATTGGAGGTCTTCTTCTTTGCTGACCCTCCACTTTACCAAGCATGATGTCCTTCTCCAGGGACTGGTCCCTCCTGATAATATGTCCAAAGTATGAGAGATGAAGTCTGGCAATATTGGCTTCCAGGGAGCATTCTGGATGTACTTCTTCCAACACAGATTGGTTTATTCTTTTGACGGGCCATGGTACTTTTAATGTTCTCTTCTCCTCCAACACCATAATTCATTATCATCAATTATTTTACAGTCTTCTTTATTTATTGTCCAGCTTTCACATGCATGTGTTGTTGTTGTTGTTGCGTGTCGTTGAGTCCGTTATGACTCATAGTAATGGTATACAGGCTTTCCGAGGAGTAGCTGGTCGGCTTCAACTGCTGCCTTGTGGTTCACAGTCCAATGTTGATTGACAGAGCCACACAGGAAGTCCATACTTAATAGAGAGATACTCAATTCCATAAATGCAAAGTAGCAAAAATCATCCAAATCAACTTGAGTTGTTAATTTTCTATAGAATGTTTCCATTACTGCATTTCCTCAAGTCTATTCCTATTAATGTATATTGTTACTGTTAAGTGCTGTCGAGTTGGTTCTGACCCACAGTGTCCCTGTATAGGTTTCCGAGGAGCAGCTAGTAAGCTTGAACCATCGACCTTGCAGTTCAAACTGACTTTGCAGTCCAGCTCATTAACCCACACCACCATACCAGGACTCCTGTTAATGTGTAATAAAGACAGATCTCCCAGGTCCATTACCACTATGTTGTTGTTGTTAAGTGCCGTGGAATTGGTTCCGACCCATAGCAACCCTGTACAGGGTTTCCGAGGCTGTAAATCTTTATGGGAGCAGAAAGCCTCATCTTTCTCCTGCAGAGCAGCTGATAGTTTCGAACTGTTGATCTTAAGGTTCCCAGCCCAATTCGTAACCACTACACTACCAGAGCTCCTTATCGCAATAATCCTAGCCAAAGTATTGCCACCAGATGCTGTGGAGTCTATTCTAAGGTCATTGAAAATACCATGGGTCAGGTGTACCTTAGTCCTTGAACTGACATCTTTGCTCTTGAACATTTTATAGAGGTCTTATGCAGCAGATTTACCTAAAGCAATGCGTTGTTTGATTTCTTGACTGCTGCTTCCATGAGTGTTGATGGTTGAGCTGAGCAAAATGAAGTCGTTGAGATCTTCAGTTTTTTTCTCCATTTATCATGATGTTATTTACTGGTCTAGTGGTAAAGATTTTGGTTTTCTTTACATTGAGGTACATGCAACCCATAGTGAAAGCTGTGGTCTTTGATCTTCATCAGTAAGTATTTTATGTCCTTTTTGCTTTCAGCAAGCAAGGTTGTATCATCTGCATATCACAGGTTGTTAATAAGTCTTTCTCCCAAGTTTATATTTTGTTCGTCTTTATTTTCTTCTTCTTTTATTATTGTTATTTTTCAACTTTTACTCCTTTCATAGAGTTGAACTTCTTCTCTTCTTAGAAGAATGGATTTTCCAGAACTAAATAAATTCGCAGTTCTTCTCTGGAAGAATTTTACTTTAAAGGTAGGTTGAGCCAGCTCTAGGAAATTGTTATAATGGCTTATAATATTATAAGAGGTGACAGGGAAATTCTGACAACTTGATCATTGCATTTCCATTTATACTGTGTTGTGTTTTTTTTCAGTTCCAGGACTGGGAGAGATATTTCTACCAAATCTAGCAAATACAGAGTGAAATAATTGCAGAATAACATGTATAATGGGGCGGGGGGTGGAGGTGGGGTCGGGGGGAGACAGTCCAGGAAACTATTGTTATTACAGAATGAAGATGTCAGAAACTCAGTATAAAATAAATTTTCCATCTGCAAAGTTAGTCACCTCTTAGGGTAATTAACACAATTCTGTTTTTTATTTTAATTTTATTTTCTCTGTGTCTTCCAGAGGCGACAAGTTATTGTTCTATGTGTGGAAATCCTGCTAACGTTATTATTTGCTGGTACGCTTTTGTTAGCACGTCATTCTGTTAATATAAGGAACGTTGGACCTTTACATTACCCTCCGATATCCTATGATTATTTATCTTCTTTCTTGAAATATCCTGATAATTCTCCTGGGCCATTGGAATTGGCTTATGTGCCTTCCAAAAGTATCGTGGTAAAGTCTATCGTTGAACTTGTGCTATTGGATTTAAACATGAATTTGAAAGGTTAGAAACTGATACTTTCTTAAAAATATATATTAAACTGTTTTAGAACACACACACTTGTATTAACCTTGTATAAGTGGGCATTAGCTTCCCAAGTACGATTTTGTAGAACATCCTCATAACCCAACTCAAACCGAAACCCCAAGTTGATTTGGACTCCTAATGACCTTAAAGGATAGAGTGGAACTGCCCCCCCCCCCCCCCCCCGGGTTCTGATGGAAGCAGACTGCCCTGTCTTTTGCCCATTGAGCTGCTGATGGCTATGAAAAACCAACCTGTCAGTTAGCAGCTGAGTGCCTCCAGGGGTCTTAATCATCTTTATAATCAGCTATTCATCCTAGATATAATGTCATGATTTTATTAAACCTGGCTTTTGAATTCACATAAAATAGATCCTTATTAGAGGCTGTGATGGTTCATTTTAAGTGTCAACTCGGTTAAACGTTAGTACTCAGTTGCTTAGGCAAACACTAGTCTAGAAGTTCTAATGAAGTATGTATGAAAGAGAATTCCATATTTTCATGAACTTTTTGAAGTCCCCTCATGTTGTTGTTTTGTTAAGTCCCATTGAGTCAGTTTCAATTTCAACTCTTAGTGATCCTGTTCAGGGTTTCTGAGGGGTCGCTGGTTAGTTTGAACCACCGACCTTGTGGTTAGCATCCCAGTATTTATCCTACAGTGCCACACCAGAAGTCCCCTCATGTTGCTGTTATTAAGTGCCGTCAAGTCATTTCCGACTCCTAGCGACTCTATATAGGATTTCCAAGGAGCCATTGGTGAGTTTGAACCGCTGACCTTTTGGTTCAAACCAACCTTGCTGTCCAGTGCTTATCCTATGGTGCCACTCCATAGATGTAACTATATTGTTGTTGTTGTTGTTAAGTGCCGTCGAGTCGGTTCCGACCCATAGCAACAACCCTGTATAGGGTTTCCAAGGAGCAACTTGTGTGCTTGAACCACTGACCTTGTAGTTCACACAGCTTTGCAGTGTAGCACATTAACCCACGGCGCCACACCAGAACTCCTTAATATATATTAGTTGTTCTTAAAGAAAGCAGCTTATCCTCCATAATGTGTGTAAGCCTTATCCAATTAGCTGAATGCCTGATGCGCCCAAAGGGAAGATGTCCACAGGAATCTTCTGTATGGAGACTCTAAATAGACACATTGCTAGAATTCCTGACCCCCTTCCCCTACTGGCTGACCCATTGATTTTGAGGCACAGACTGCCTGAATGCATTTCCAGCCTTCACTTGCCCTCATATTTGTGTGAGCCAATTCCTCAAAAGTGAAATCAATGTTTCTCTTGTTTCTGTTGCTCTAGATAACCCTAAGACAGAGCATAAAACAATAGTATTAGACAATTAGATCATTGATTTCTATGATCCAAAGTTACTATCCAGTTCTATGGTACTAAATCTCTTCCTTATTTCTGGTTGTGGTTTTTAAACCTGGGTAAGTATAATGATGGTATGTCAAAGGTATTAAAGGCACAGGATCAGCATGGATCTCTATCCTGAACACTATGTAAAATATAGTTCATGTAACAATATTGAATGAGTCATATGCAAATGCTATAGAAAAGACTCAAACTACATGAAAATACCAGTTACCACTGAGACTGTTTCAACTCAAGGTGACCCCTGTGTGTCAGGGTACAACTGTCTCCACAGGGTTTTCACTGGCTGAATTTTCAGAGGTAGATTACCGCACCTTTCATCTAAGGCTCCTCTGGGTGAACTTGAACATCCAAGTTTTTGATTAGCTGTCACATTAACCCTTTCCACTACAGAGCAATATTACCATGAGCCAGAATCAACTCCAGGATAACTGGTTTTTCAAGCTATATGGAATGATTTATAAGTGTCCAATTCTTCACTTGCGTTTTCTTTCCTAACTCACTTTCTCTCCTCTTTCTCTTAGAGATAAGCACTATCAGAAGCTTGGTGAGCATCTCTCTAGTCCTCTCTCTGTCATTTATACACACGTGCACACATGTACTCTCAAGGGATTTGAGAGTCTATGAGAGTAGATGCCATCTCAAAACATTTCTTATTTTAAAATGAACCTTGAAGCAGAAGAATGCAAAATTCTCTAAAATGTGTTTCATTGTATACATACGTGCACATATATGTATTGTGATACAATAAAGCAGACCCATTTTAATTGAACAATGTTCACACATGCAGCCCAATGACTTTAACCACACTCACCATATCGTGCAGCCCTAACTCTGTTTCCAAAACGTTTTCATCACTCCAAGCAACAACTTACCTACTCATCAGTACGCCCTATCTCCTCTTTCCCCCAGCTCCTAGTGACCATTAATCTGCAGTGTTTCATTCTGTTGTGCATAGGGTCACTATGAGTGAGGACAACACCATGCCAGAATGGGTTTGATTACTTGAGTGTTAGAGTCTGTTTTGAAGTCAGGAAGTGTTTGTGCTTTTACTGTGCTCTTTGATTGTACAGCTCCATCTCCAATTCTATATGAATTTAAAAATGATCATTTTCAAAAAATACAAAAGGCTCTTATAGACATCTCATTGAATGTATAGATAGCTGTGAACAGTATTAGTATCATAAAAGCATTAAGTCTTCCAGTTCATGAACATGTTCATCGATGAATATGTTGAGGAATTTCCCTTCAATTCCTATTTCCTGAGTGTTTTTATAATATAAAAGTGTGGGGTTTTGTCTGATGCCTTTTCTGCATCCTTTGAGATGATCCTGTGGTTCTTTTCATTTTTTCTTTTCATACGGTGTATGGCATTGGTTGGTTTTCCTTATGTTGAACCCCATTTGCATTGTTTGGTGTATCCCACTTCATTATGGTTTATCATCCTTGAAGTACACTCTTGGGTTCTGTTTACTAGAAATTTGTTGTAGGATGGTTAAATATTATAAGCTGCTTTATAATAGCTAGAACTGGAAGTCTCCTATAGAAAAAAATTCAAACCTGCCTTCTTATTATTTCCAATTATATTCTGTTATAGTCAGAAAATAGTCTCTTTAAGATATTAATTCAGCAGAATTTATTGAAGTTATTTTGTATATTCTAATATGTGATGTTGTTGTTATTAAGTGCCATCAAGTCGGTTCCGGCCCATAGCGACTCTGTATAGGGTTTCCAAGGAGCAGCTGGTAAACTTGAACTGCTGACCTTGTGGTTCAAACCAACCTTGCAGTCCACCAGCACATTAACCCACAGCACCATACCAGGACTTAATTTGTGATATCACAATATGTGATCAAGTTTGATAACAACTGCTTTTTTGCTATATAATCTATATTCTGATTGGTCATGTACTAAATCCATTTAGGTATTTCCCAGTTTTTCTTGGCCTCACATGCCCACTCAGTCAGATGTTCAGTGTAGACCCTTGTCTTCACCTCATGCCCTGTCAACTCCTGATCTTTGCTCTTCCCTTGAGTCAAAGGAAAAGTTTCAGAACATCCTCCATTATTTCCACAGAGTCCAGTGCACACAACTCACCTGTACTGATGTGTGGAGGGTTTTGCTTTCCCAGATGCTCCTGGAAAGGCCAGAAACACAAGCCAAATGCAGGGGATTTAACAGCCCATGGGGCAACATTTGACTAGTGAGAGACCAAGGTGAGAGGGAGCTAATAGATGAATTCTTTGTTCTTCCTTCTCCTACAAACAGACTTTAAAACAAAAAGCCCCAAACTGTTTATTGTGAGTACAGCGAAGGTTTATGGAGCAGTTCATCAGTTTCACGTTTCATTTCATCTCAATAATTATAATCCCTTTAATTCTAACAATTAAAAAAACCCCACAGTATCAGGATTGGAAGGAGCTCTGGTAGCGTAGTGGTTACGAATCGGGCTGCGAACCTTAAGGTCAGCGGTTCGAAACTACCAGCCACTCCGCAGGAGAAAGATGAGGCTTTCTACTCCCGTAAAGATTTACACCCTCGGAAACCCTGTACAGGGTTGCTATGGGTCGGACCCGACTCAATGGCACTTAACAACAACAACAACAATGTAATCTCACTTAACCCACTTCCTTCCTGTATTTAGGGTTTCAATTCATCCTTCTTTCCCAATGCTTTTGAACTTTGCCCTTGGGTAAATGCTGCCTTTTGATCTCAAATGGCTGACCATTTTATGGTATGTGTAACTCACTAGTGTTGTTGTCCTTCCTGTCTCTCTATATCTGTCCATTTTCTTTGACTGAAAATTAAGCCATCGGGGTGAGTTCAGTTTCAGACCTGAAGGGTGGCCAAGGGCCATGCAAAAAAACCTCTTTCAATTCCCTAGGAAACTTCAAAGCAAGTGGTTGGGTCCTCTCAACACAAACCCCCTTCCAAGACTAAGACTCAACGGAAATACACGCTCTGATTGGTGACCACATGCATCACTGATAGGGGGAAGAAGGGTAAAAGCAGCAATGAAGCGGCAAGCTAAGACTTACAATGTTCAGTGGGTTTCTGTGGACCCAGTTGGGGACCTGCTTGGCAAGCAGTGTGAGGAGACCTAGGGACTCTTGGGCCCAGAGTCAGTGGTGTGGCCATGGAGGAGTCGAGTGGAGAGTGGAGCTACCGGCTGATGGGAAGAGAGGGCATGTGCACAAGAACACCCACACTTGCAGATAGTACCCACGTGACCTGGACCGGATGACTAGATGATCAGAGCTCAACCAGGAGAAGAAAGAAGAGGGGAACAAAAAAAGTGAGCTGATACAATCTGATGAACTTGACCTATACTTACAGATGCAGTGACTCAAAAGAAGGAACAAATCCTTACAGCAAGAAATATTCCCACCCCCTCCACACACAGAGTGGGCAGAGATGGGCAACTTGGACATTGGATACTCAAATGGGGAGGCAGGGGGGACTACAAAGGCAAGAAGTAACTGGTTTACAAGCTTTCAAGAGGGAACCTAGAGCTAGGGGGCATGGAGGAAGGCAGAATCTCCAGTGAGTACTATCCAATCTGTCTAGGTGGAGCTGATGAAATGAAATACAGATGGGTAACTCGTGATACTGTAGTGAATAATGGTTATCAGGACTGATTATGAGGGTTAGAAGTGCAAAGGTAGACGTTTTGTAGCAAGGAAGGGAGCAATTATTTCTCAAGTCTAGGAGCGGAAGTCTCTAGAACCATCAACGGAGAAGAGCCGAGAGCAGGACCCTACC